TACTGCGCACCTGGGTCCACCTGCCCCGCATTGTCTGGGCTCTGGGCCCTTCTTGCTCCTGCTCCATCTCCTCATTCGTTTTCCCCTTTTCTTCAGGCCAGGAAGCCTGGGTGCTATCGAAAGATGTTTAGGTTTCAGACAGTTCTCTAGTCTTTGACTTGCCCCAGGAGTGAACCTCGGGCTGGAAGACTGACCCGGAATTTTGGCCAGGGAACCACTGCAGATAAGTCCCTTCTCCACTCAGCCTCAGTTTTCTCATTTGTAAAATGAGGGCTCAGATTCAATTATTTACTTTATTGCCCTTTAAAAAAGTTATATTTGTTGCATCTATTATTAGTCTATGACCTACTGATTGTATATAATCTGTAACAAAAAATACATTAAATGAACAGAAGTCCAAGATGAAAATTGCCCATGATCTATTCTGTGAAATGACATCAATATTTGTGTTGGTTTCTGACATTTTCCAGCTCTTATTCAGGTTCACATTCAGTTTTAACGGATTTACGGTAATATCACACATGGGAATTTCATATTGAGTTTTAATGGATTTACGGTAATATCACACATGGGAATTTATACTTAACACTGTCCGTCAACATTTTACCCTAAGCATCACTTTTCCTTTTCCTACCTCTATCTTTTTCCCCTGCTCTCATCTGCTGAGGTACAGTGTTAATAGTTTAGTTTGCATTCATATATAAGTAGAGTATACATTCAAAGAATTTGCATTTGGTGAGAGAAGTCATTTTTTATTTTATAAAATTGGGATCACTCTTTATAGATTTCTCTGCTTTTCTCATTTAATAATATGCTGTGGGGCTGGGTGCGGTGGCTCAAGCCTGTAATCCCAGCACTTTGGGAGGCTGAGACGGGAGGATCACGAGGTCAGGAGATCGAGACCATCCTGGCTAACACGGTGAAACCCCGTCTCTACTAAAAAAAATACGAAAAACTAGCCGGGCGAGGTGGCGGGCGTCTGTAGTCCCAGCTACTCGGGAGGCTGAGGCAGGAGAATGGCGTAAACCCGGGAGGCGGAGCTTGCAGTGAGCTGAGATCCGGCCACTGCACTCCAGCCTGGGCAACAGAGCGAGACTCCGTCTCAAAAAAATAAATAAATGAATAAAAATAAAAATAATATGCTGTGGAAATCCCTCCAGACTGCGGGATAGAGTGCTAACCAGTTCTTTTTTAATAGGTGGCGTGATTCCATGGTACGGTTGAAGGTATTACAGTTTATTCAACCATTTCCTGATTGATGAGGAATTTAGCTGTTTGCATTTCCCCCCCACCTCCCCACCACCACACTAAAAACAATGCTTCTGTTGAACAAAAGAGTCAAACTCTGTAAAACATTTGAAGAGATTTATTCTGAGCCAAATATGAGTGACCATGGCCTGAGGCACAGTCTCAAGAGGGCCTAAGAACATGTGCCCAAGGCGGTTGGGCTGCAGCTTTGTTTTATACGTTTTAGGGGGACATGAGACATCAGTGACTTATGTAAGTAAGTGAGAGTGAACCACGGTGTACATTGGTTCAATCTGGAAAGGTGGGACAACTTGAAATATGGTGGGAGCTTCCAGGCCATAGGCAGATTCACAGATTTTCTGATTGACAATTGGTTGAAAGAGTCGTTACTATCGAAAGACGTGGAATCAGTAGAAGGGAGTGTCTGGGTTAAAATGAGATGGTGTGAAGACCAACATTCTTATTATGCAGGTGAAGCCTCCAGGTACGGGCTTCGGAGAGAAGAGATTGTAAGTTTTTCTTATCAGACTTAAAAAGGTGCTAGACTCTTAATTGATTTTCTCCTGGATCAGGGAAAAGACCTGGAATAGGAAGAGGATTCTCTACAGAATGTAGATTTTCCCCACAAGAGAGCTTCCCAGGCCATTTCTGAGACGTATTTGCAAAGCTAATATATAAAAGAAATGTATTTTGCTGTAAAATAGTTCAGTTTCTTTTAGGGTCTGCTATCGGTCATATGATGCTGTCCTAGAGTCAGGTTGGAATTTGCTACAGATTTTGTCTCATTGCTACAAAGAGTCTGTTTTGTCACTCTTAAGAGCTCTGTTAAGACTGTTTTAATGTTTTTTGTTAAATGTTAATGCTGGCCAGCTGTGCCTGAATTCCTAAGGGAGGAGGGGATAAGGAGGCGTGTCCTACGCCTGCTTCCCATCATGGCCTGAACTAGGTTTCTTTGGAATGCCCTTGGCTGAGAAGGGGGTCCATTCAGTCTGCAGCAGGACGGGCCGCAGACAAAACCTCTCAGACCCCGAGTTGTAGAAGGAAGGGCTTCATTCAGCTGGGAGCATCGGCAAGCTACTGCCTTAAAATCCGAGCTCCCTGAGTGCACAATTTCTGGCCTTTTTAAGGGCTCACAACACTAAAGATTTCACATGAAAGGGTCGTGATTGATTTGAGCAAGCAGCGGGTATGTGACGGGCTGCATGCACCGGTGGTCAGAGAGAAACAGAACAGGGCTGGGAGTTTCATGGTGTTCTTCTATACAATGTCAGGAACGTGGGTTTCTAAGTCATGAGTTGATTTTTAACTACTGGGTTTAGGCCAGGCAGACCCAGGCCTGGTGCTGGGCTGCCTGTCTTTGGTTTTACTTCATTGTTTTTTTCTTAAAACAGGTACTGAGTATAAAACAATATAAAACAATAGGAGAGAGTCTCTCTCTTTCCTCAAGTCAACTGGAGGGCTTAGAATTTTGTTCTTGGTTTACATTTCCATAAACATTTCGTAATCCACATCTACATAGACAGTGGGTCGGGCACCCCTCTCTCCACATCCTCTCCAGCACTCACAGTTAGCAGTCTTTTTAATGTGTGCCAGCCAGTCTGCTGGATGAGAAATGGCATCACGGCATGACTTTAATTTGCATTTTCCTATTTACCAGTAAGCGTCTTTCCATTGGTATGAATTTGGTCTTGATTTGAGTTTGTGAGGCAGAATAGCAGAGATGTAAACCGTATTTGTGGGCTGTTTGGGTTTCCCGTTCTGTCAACTGCTGTTCCTATTCTCTGGCTGTTTTTTCTGCTGGGTTTGTCTTTGCACTATGGACGTGCTGGAACTCAGTGCAGAGTGTTAACTTGCCTTCTGTCAACATTTTGCACATATATTTTCCTAGTCTATCATTTGTGTTTTGACTTATTAGGGTATTCGTTTTCATACAGATTTTTTTCTTCATTTTACGTAGTCAGACATGTTTATCTTTTTTTAATGGCTTTTCAGTTTCCCGTTTTGTTTTTAAAATCTCCTCAACACATCAGCTATATTCCTAAGCTTTCTTCTGATTTTTTTTCTGTTTAATTTCTCTCATTTAAACATATAACCTTTCTGGAATTTATTTTTTGTCAAATTAAAGGTTGGCTCAGACAGGTGTGATGGCTCATGCCGGTAATCCCAGTACTTTAGGAGGCCAAGACGGGAGGATTGCCTGAGGCCAGGAGTTCGAGACCAGGCTGGGCAACATAGTGAGACCTCTGTCTCTGCGAAATTTTTTAAAATTAGCTGAGCCTGGTGGCACACGGCTGTAGCTGAGACAGGAGGATTGCTTGAGCCCAGAAGGCCAAGGTTACACTGAGCTATGATCACACCACTGCACTCCAGCCTGGGCAACAAAGCAAAGCCCTGTCTCTAAACAAACAAACAAACAAACAAAAATTAAGATAGGCTCCAGTGTTCTTTCTTCCATGCAGATAGCCAAATTCAGCATTTCCTGTCTACACTCTCAGACCCAGTGGGCCCCCAACAGGTGGCTGGGAGGTGGCTACCACATTTGGGGCTAGGAGGTCTGGGAAGTGGTACAGATGCCCCTCCCCCAGCCATGGCGATATTCTACTTTTGTTGTTTTACACAATAGGCTTCCAGTAAAGATTTGGTTTGGACAAAGTGTTCTGAAGCTGAAGGAATTTTGAAAATCCCTTTCAGATGATCTCTGGGGACCCTTCCAGGTTTGACATTCTCTGACTCAATAATGCCCAGGACAGCAACTGCTTATTAAGGAAGAGAAGGCAATGGCTCGGTGTATCTTTATCCAAAAGTAATTTCAATACTGAATTCTAGGTTGGCTCAAAGTGGATATTGGAATCACAGCATTTCAGAGGTGGAAGGGACCTCGGAAATCCTCTAGTCTAGTGCCTCTCAATCCTGGCTGCCTTTAGAATCACCTGGGAGTTTGTTAAAAAGTCCTGGTGCCCTGGACTCATGCCAGACCACGGAAATCAGAGTCCCTGGGGGGAAGGGAAGGGTCCAGGCATAAACTGTTTTAAAAATCTCCTCGTGATTCTAATATACAGCTAGGGCTGAGAACCACTTCGCTAGTTCAGCTCCCTTATTTCATTAGTAAGTCAGCTGAAGCCCAGAAAAGGTGAGCCACATATGACACAGCTGGCTAACTGTAGGGTTGGGACTAGAACCCAGATCCCTGCCTCCTGGGTTGACTTTTTCATCTACACCAAGTGCCTCATCAAGCACCACTCCTTGGATGTTTAGCTGGTGACACTAAAGTCCCTGTATGAATGTTTTGTAACTTTGTATATGATCAGCTTAAAAGTATTCGCTGCATGCAATTCTGTGCATCCTGGAGAAACAGACTTAGTTCTACCTTGGAGGACCGTGGTGGAGAACAGGGTCATAAAGAGCAAACTGTGATAACAGAGCAGGACGTTTGGTACGTGCACGTGAGAGCGCCTGCTGCAGGGAGGGCTGCGGAAATGGGAAGGGTGAGTTGCCAGGGAGGCCAAGGAGGCTTCACACAGGAGGTGGCGTTTGAATTGAGCCTAGTGGGGGATTGAAGAGGACTCTGATGGACAGAGAATCAATGCTGCACTCTTGCCCGGGGCAGTGATTGGCTGCCTGAGTTTTACGCAGGGGCTCGAAAGGGCAGGGATGGGGGCAGCAGGGTTTCAGGGCAGAAATGCTTTAGTATCAGGCAGGGTGGGGACCCAGCCTGTGTCAGGCGCTCTGATCTCCCTCTGCTCTGCCCGCAGGAATGAGACCGTGCTGCACCAGTTCTGCTGCCCAGCCGCCGACGCCGAGCAGAAGCCGGCCTGCTCCGACCTGGCCTCCCACAGGTGGGAACTGTGGCCCTTCCTCCATTCTGCACCCCCACCTTGCTTCCTGTTGCAACAAAGCACATACCACTGCACTAGCTACTGGGCCTCCTCCTCTTGAGTCTCATGTGGGGTAATTTGTTTGCTTTCACCTCCTTCCTCAGACTTCAGTTTCTCTCTGCTCCCTCTGGACCCCAAATGAGCCATTCCCAACGTTTAAGGTCATTATGCCCTAGCGATCACACCCCAAACGTATGCTCCTTTCTCCTGAACAGCCCATGTAAAATTTAATCTTCGTAAGCAGCCAGGAAAATTGGTTTGATTGGGGATATTCACGTATCTTACACGGTAGGGTGCCTGGCACACAGTGGTGTGCACTCAGCCCATGCATAGTGCCCAGCCTTCATCTTACATCAAGGATTTATACTTTTCTTTCTGGTTTCTCTTCTTCCAGTCAGCCCGGGTGCCTGTCTTTAATTTTCAGGATCTCTCAGCCCTGGCTACATTAGTTGACAGCCTTGGGATGGAGTGGGAGTGTTGAGGAGTCAGGTTTTAGAGCCATAGTCCTAAGCTTTCTCCTCTGTTTTTTCCTGGGTTCTCCTCCTGCCGTCTGCCTCCCTGTCCTCCTTCCTGGTGCTCCCTCTCCGTCCTGGGATCAGCCTTCTCCCTCCGCATCTGCTTCTGTCTCTCTGCCCTTGTGTTTCTGGTTTCTCCTCTTCTGTGCCCATGTTGTGCTCCCCCCCGCCCCCGGTGTCCTCTGTGACAAGTTTTGGGCCAGGCCTGGGGACATAAAGGCACATAAGGCCAACTTGGACCCTTGAGAAGTTCCCCATGCAGTGGGACATTAGGATACCCTCAAAAGGAAAACTGCTCACCTGGAAATTAGAAGGAAGAAGAGAAATGGGAGAATGGAACGGTGGAGGGGGAAGGAAAGAGGAGAGCGTGGAGATGTGGAAGACACCAGGACGCTGTAGAGGAGGACCCTGACTGCCCTGGCCCCTTCCCATGAGCCCTCACTGTTCAGACACATGGCCCGAGTCTCCGGCCTAGAAACTGCCTTCCTTGGTGTGGGGGAGAAGAGAGAAAAACTGTCTGGCCTGCCTCCAGCTCCATCAGTTCAACTCAGTTCAGTAAGCACTTTATTGATACTAACCAAGCACCAGGCCTCAGTGAGGATGGAGAACACACCCTTGAGAAGCCCAGACGTGGCAGGGGCGGGCAACAGAGACGGTCCCTTGGGTTTCCTGTGGTCTCCCCTCCCATCCACTGTCAGCCTGCATGCTCGCTTACGCACCAGCACTCCCCTGCTGCCTGTGTGGTGCCCACCTGCAGCCCTAGCTCCAGGTGGGAAGGAGTGGCAGAGAGGCAGCCCCAGCAGCATGCCAGAACGCCAGAACGTAGGTAGATGTGGGGCAGGGGAGGGGTGCTGCCCTCTCAAGGGGCTGGGGCTCCAAGGGACTAGGGTTATTTTCCAGTGTTTGAGGTGGATGATAGGAAACCCATGATCTTAGTTTCCAAGAGGTTTGTTGTTCACCTTCCCCTGGGAGGTGTGGGCTTTGAGGTTGGGGACAGGGGGTGCTCTGGGGAGGGAGTGTGGGAGGTGGGAGATTCTCTTGAATGTTGGTTCATGGAGGGGCCTATACACCCTGCCTATGCGGGCCCTCCCCCTGGGTGGGGACATGAGGCTTGCCCCCCAAGATGGTCCAGGGCTTCAGCTGCTGTCTGTCTCTCGTTCCCAGTTACTCCACGTTGTCCTGTCTGTCTGATTTGTAGTTTCCTAGAGCCTGTTTTTGTCTGTCTGTCTCTGTCTGATGTGGCTTTCTTGGCCTCTCTGAGAGGAGTCCCTCTGGATGTTTTCTGGACAGCCCAACAGTGTGTGTGTTTGCTCTTGGCTTCTTGGGGGAATTCTATCCTAAGATAAAGTTTTCCCTGATCAGACTCGCAGCATCCCTGCTCCCAACCCTATCAACGATTCCTTCACCAAACCTCATCCCTTCCCCTAGTCCAGCTGTCCCACCTCCAGAGCACAGCCACAACTTCCCAGCAAGCTCCTCTAGTGGAATGTGTCACAGTCAGAGGCCAGCCTGTGGGGCTGGCACAGGCGGGTAGGTCACACAGCCCTCTCAGGAGATCTGGTATGGGCTCGAGCTCTGAGACAAGCCAGGCTCCTCCTCCATCAGTCTGGCTCCTCCCCTGTCAGTCTGGCTTCTTCCCTGTCAGTCTGGTTTCCCACTAGCTCAGCCAGTAGGAATCATGGCCTCCTGAGGATTTCTAGGATCAGCCGTTGGCGTCTCTAGGAGACCCCAATAAGGAATCCAAAGTCAGTGAATCAGGTGTCAGGGCCTTTGGTGTGCGGACTCAGCCAGCCACAGGATCTCCCTTGCCATCCTCCTCTGCAGTCTGGCTAAGGTCGGCCCCCACTCCAGCTCCAGGGCTGAGCAGGTGCCCTCCCTGGGGCACTGCAGTGGCTGCTCCTCTGGCTGATCAGAGATGTAGAGATGCTGCTCAGCCCAGAGGAAAGTCGGCTCCCTCCCAGAAAGACCCAGGGCCAGAAGAGAGCCTCACGGCTCCCGAAGAGGCAGAGAAGCCTCAGCCCTAACGAGGCCAGCACAGCCTTCCTTCCCCAGCCACCTGCAGAGGAGCAGCTGGGGGCTGGGGTCAGGGAAACTGTCTTGGGGCTGGGAGCCTGACAGGGAGTGGTTCTCCCAGGAGCAGGAACCCCTGAAATTGAGCACATCCAGAAGTGTGGGTGTCTGCAAAGGGAGGCTGAAGGGTGGGCGTCAGCGATCTGGGGTACAGTGGAGCAGCTATGGGGCTGGCAAAGCCCTGCGAAGCTGGATGACCAGATAGAGTTATTATGGGTTCTGCTCTGCCCTGGTTCCCCACACCCCGCTAGGAAGGCAATCTATGTCTGCCAGGGTAATTAGGCCCTCAGGTGGGAGCTGGGGGTGGTGCCTCCTCCCAGCAGCCAGCCAGGGAGCAGCAACTGCGTGCCAGGCTCTTTCTCGCCAGAAAAGTTCGCCCCGTGGTCTTTGCCCCTACCGACCGCCTCCCTGCTGCCAGCTAATGACAGGGCTTTATTCTGGGGCGCTGAATAGGCCAGTAATTGCAGCCCTACTTTCGATCCTGCGGGCTCCCTTCCCTTTCAGGCTCTCAGCGACATTCAGAACAATGACCCAGTAGCTGGCCAGCTGCCTCCCAGCATAGAGCCCATTTGTCTCAAGGGTGATAATGGGGCCAAGATGAGGAAGATGGGCTTCTATTAGAGTAATGGGAGGAGGCGGCTGTGGGAGAGGGTGGGGCTCAGGAGAAGCAGGCTGGTTTCAGGAGCGAGAGGAGGGCTCAAGAAGGAGAGAAGGGCTCAAGAAGGAGAGGTGGGCTCAGGAAGGGGAGGCGGGGCTCAGGAGGGGAGGTGGAGTTAAGGACGGGGAAGCGGGGCTCAGGAGGGGAGGCGGGGCTCAGGAGGGGGAGGTGGGGCTCAGGAAGGGAGGCGGGGCTCAGGAGGGGAGGCGGGGCTCAGAGGGGGAGGTGGGGTTCAGGGGGGGAGGCGGGGTTCAGGGGGGGAGGCGGGGCTTAGGAGGGGAGGCGGGGCTCAGGAAGGAGAGGTAGAGTTCGGGAGGGGGAGGTGGGGCTCAGGAGGGGAGGCGGGGCTCAGGAGGGGAGGCGGGGCTCAGGAGGGGAGGCGGGGCTCAGGAAGGAGAGGTGGAGTTCAGGAGGGGGAGGTGGAGTTCAGGAGGGGGAGGCGGGGCTCAGAAGGGGAGGCGGGGCTCAGGCGGGGAGGCGGGGCTCAGGGGGGAGGCGGGGCTCAGGAGGGGAGGCGGGGCTCAGGACGGGGAGGTGGTAGGCAGGAAACAGAACAACCCCTAGGCCTCCAGAGCAAGAAGGGATCTGGGTAGGGGTCTAAGGGGCACTCTGAGCCTCTGCTAACTGAACTGACTCACTGCTGGTCCTTGCTTCTTCCTTTTCAACCACCCCATCCTTACTCCAAGATGGAAGACCTATTGAACATACCATTTATTGAACGTGCCAGGGACATGGTGCTGGGCACTCTTGATATTTTTATCTCACGTAATTCTGTGAGATAGGTGTTATTCCCATTTACAGATAAGGAATCCAGGATGGAGAGAAGTTAGGTATCTTGACCGAGAGACCACTGCTAATTATTTCTGGAACTGGACAGTGAACCCAGGTCCAACTCCAACACACAATCTCTTTTCACAGAGTTGCTGCTAGAATTTTTTTTTAAGCGCTCAAGAGAAATCCTCCCAGCCATTTCACTGGATCTTAAATAACATGTATTTTCTCTGATTATAAGTCATACACGCTAGTTGTTGGAAATGTGGAAAATACAAAATATAAAGAAGAAAATATAAATGGGACTTCATCATGTAGAATTAACTGATGTTGGTATTTTAGTGTGCAGCCTCCCAATGTTTTATTTTTCTCTGCGTTGGGTTTTACATCCTCCCCACGCCAATCAAAAAAAAAAAAAGAAAAAAGATTTTGTAATCTGCATTTCCCACTTGGGCGAGGCGTACTGCGCCCCTTTACAGGGGCTCCTACCCTAACCAGTCCCTCCCGGGCCACCCACCCTGGTGGCCCACGTGGCTCGCCTCGTCGCCGCTAGGCAGCAGCACGGCAGGGGCTCTGCCGAGGCCTCCACGTGGGTTACCCCTTCCGAGAACGCTGCGGGAGAGCCCTGCATTAGCATAGCTGGAGCATCTCCGCCTCTCCTGCCTCTTTTCATCGGCCGTGATGGGGCCTGAAGCATGATCAATGGACCAGCCAGTGTTTACCCAGCGATTACGGAGCAATTAAATTCTCAATCGATACAGCTTAGTCTTCAAACAGCTGGGCTGGGGCGCCGCGGCCTCACGTGCCTGCTCCAGGAGTGGCATCCAGGCTGCTGAGAAACCGGCAACACCCACTGGTGGCTTCGGGTGGCAGCGTGGGTGGGTCGGGCGGTACGGCTGCGTCCTCTTTCCCTAGAAAAGGGCAGAAAAGCCCTCGGCTTCCCCCAG